GTAGTCCATTGGACACCCGACAGGAGGGTCCAGGTAGTGAGTTATTAGTTAATTCGAATTGTTGGCACAAACGATATCCATGAGGAAGAAACACCAACCACTGTAGTTACCACAGTCTTAGTTGTCCTTTGTCTTCCTGCAACTTGGAGCCCTGGGAAAAATAGTTACGGCTACGGCTATGGCTACGATAACGACGACGAAAACGACTACTTCACAAAGAGTTTCGGTGGGCTTGACACTATTCACTCTCCTTTGATTGTTTTGCTGGGGGAATGGTGTTGCTATTCAAGATCCAACATTACACCTCTGAGCCTCGAGCCAAAACCTAGCACCCGGCGTCACAAAAAAGAAACATCAAAAATGCAGGAAACAAACAGTTGCTACAGGACTCATTGTACTGGAGCCGATCATACAAAAACACTAAGTATCACTAAGTCAAGTTTGGTAAAAAGTTCTTCTCATGGACTTCGTGTTCCTTCCCGTTCTCTCATTGTTTTTCCGAAGTTCACGTCCTAAACGCCCGCCTCAGCATGTTCCCCAAACTCCTCCCACTCGACGAGTGCCATGGATCTGCAAGCTGCCAAGCGCAAGACCCGATCCCGATGTTGGAAGATCTCGGGCGTCCGGGAAGACAAAATGGCCCACGCAGCCTCGAAGCTGTTGGACCAAGCCAGAAATTTGATGGCTTGTTCTTGCTCCTCGAGACGTTCGTTTCGGGAAGACACAGTCTTGCCCGGACTCTGGGAGTCTGATAGAGCAATTCTTCTAAAGGTATCAAGCCTACTCACACCTTTTCACGCCTTACCACTGGGATGTTTCCAAATGGTGGAGCAGGAAAAAACATGGATGATATGAGTGACTTCACAGCCTTGGCAACATGTCATCATTCCCCGGGCCCCGGACTTTCAGTATGCTGCCATGTCATGCAGTATGCTGCCACAGTTCTGGCAGCCAGCGCCATGATGTGCATAGCTCAGTGAGACAGAGGCTAGCTCAGTGAGACAGGCCCACCCACGACAGTCAACCACACAAAAACGACAGTGAGGAAGAAGCTCAGGTTTGGCACCACAGGTCACACTTCGACGGGGTTCTACAAGAAGTAATCAAGAATCCCTCTATCAATAGCTTTCAGATGTACAGATAGTATAGACATGTATAGCCCGTTTAGAAAGTTTTTGACGCAACACTGGGTTCCTGGGCGAATTACGGGATGTGCCATCAATGTTTGTTTCATTGCGATTTGGAACCTGCGGATGGCGCTCCAATCCAAGTCAATGTTTTTCCCCAAATCCCAGCGGTTGATGCCAGAAACAAAGCTGCAGGAATCTAAGAGGACAGAATGAATTGCGCCATCTAGTGGCGTTGTGTTCTTGATCTCCTCCTTCTTCTTCCTCGTGCATGCTTTAAAACCTATGCAACCCCATCCAAATCAACTCAACCCCATACAAATCAGTCCAAACCAGTCCAATCCCCACTCACACCCATCCTGCTCTGTCTTCTACTCTGCCTTTTGCTCTTTCTCCTGCTTTTTCCATTCTCGTTGTCGTCTCTTTCTTTTTCTGTAAAGACAGATTCAGCTTGTTCTGATTTCAATAAGTGGAGCGTGGCGCGAGGGCCTCGTACTCGGAGCTTTTTAGTCTAAACGCAACCCTCTGTTTGTTGTCGGGACTGATGGCGCTCTGAAGCTTGCACAATGCTTTTTGATTCGTGTGTTTTCTGTACGGAGTAAAAATATGTATATAGATTATATATATATATATACGTACACGCATATCATCATATCTGTTGCAAAATAGACTTGCTGACCTCCAAAGTGAGGCGGGAGCATGACCACGACCAGTGCCTATCTAGTCGTTCTTTAGAGGATACTGCAGGTACCTACCGACCTGCAGCGTCCGAACCGCAGGACACTGAAGCATCAGTCCTTCAAGCTTCCCGTGCTCAATCGCTTGAAGTAGCTTCCGGCCAGGGGGCGGATTTCTGGCGCACCCCCCATGATCATATCTGCACTGATCTCGGCATTGCCTTCAGCAGCCGCATAGGCTCGGATGCCAAGGAGACCTCCCGACCCGAGTGCCGTGGAGAAGATCTCCCACTTTTTGATGACCTGCTGCGCCTGGAGGGGCAGCTCAGATGCAGGTCGGTCTGCATGATAGGTCTGGACTTCTTTTCAAAGAAACTGGTCTGAACTGAACTGCAGGTCAAGTGTTTCATCTGTCATAGTTAGACTGTTCACATCTTTTCAAACATCAGCTTCGCCTGTTGGAAAGTCACCGCACTGCTAGCACAGTAGCCAATCACTGCCTCGAAGATGACCTGTCCTTCCGAGTGCCGGACAAGGTCCACACCTATTCCATGTTCATCCTTCAACAGCGGGAAGCCACTCTCCGGTGCCAAAGTCGCTTGAAGCATGTCCCAGAGGTGGTGTTCCGCCGCTTGTCGAACGGCTCGTGCAGCCTCCTCTGAACTCATGATCTCCTTCAGCAAAGAGAGCTTCCACTCATCTCCACCGTCGCCTACACGGCTGGTGATCCAAACCACATCATTCACGTTGGTGTCAGAAATGCATTGGAGCGGCCATGGCACTTTGTTCATGGCCATCCAGGTCAAACAAATAGGCCTTCCTGCAAAGACACAAATCGTCTTGCCCAAAGCCACCACAATGTTCACAAGAATGAAGGGTGAGATTGAGGCTCCTTCCATGTAGCAAGAGTAGCCGGTAAAGAACAAGGCAACTGCAAGTTGTGGCAAATCCTCTAAGAGGCACAACATGCGGCGGTGTTCGCGCGTTGCCTCCTCCACCTGCTTGGCTAAAAACACCTTCATCCGGTGAACTCGGCTTCCGGTCTCGGGGGTTCCATTCGTCGGTGGAATCGGTGGCGGCCAATAGGAAATCCGTGAGAGCCGCTCAGCCACTGGGTCCATGTAATTGTTGATGTTGGGCACAATCATGGTGAGAACCACCACCGCGGCACACACATGGCCCACCCAATCGTCCAGGTTGGCGTAGATGCCGATGGACACGGTATCTTTCACCAGGTCGTAGCGCTCAGAGAAGATTGGACAGATGGAGCGAAGAAATTGCTTCGAGGAGGCTCGACAAAGCACATGTGTTACAATGCTTTCCAAGAACCAAAAGGAGTAAAGCTCCCAGTCCAAACCATAGACATTGAGGTACCCCCTGCGGCAGGCCCAGAACACCAGCATCAAGCCCAAGTATGTGTATGTCATGTGGTAAACCACAAAGCCAACAGTCAAGCGATGTGTAAGTTCTGCTTCTAGCTCCTGCTCATCTGAAAACGTCAGGTCCGTCAGGTGTCCAATGATTTGAGGCAGAGGACTCTCGAAGTAAATGCTTCTTCTTGAGACCTTTGACTTTCAAGCTATTCGAGGCCTGTGACCGCTACAGTAGCTATTCTTTTTGAGAAGAAAAGGCAAAAGAACATCCAAGTCCCATGGAGGATACTATCGCATCGCATGGCGAGGTGTGTGTGCCAGTCTATGTATAGCTAGCTGTCCCGTGCTGTTTTGTCCGGTGACGATCTGTGGCATGGAAGCTGAAGCAGTGGACTGACGGAAAACATGGCTTTGCATTCCGGCCGTGATGTTTAAGACTTGATGCAACTCAACTTTTATCAACTCCAACAAGAGCTGTCAACATTGAAGAAGAAAACAAGAAACACCACTTCTTGTCCGCGCACGATGATATTCATGCTCCTTTTCATCTGCCACCTCGTCTTCGGTCGGAAGCCCGTTCTCTTCGTTGGCCTCCAACAAGGCTGCTCGGGCGTCGTCCTTGCGCGGCCCAGGTTTCCTGCGGGGCGAGCTCCGTCGAAGCGGTGGGTATCGCTTCGTGGCCCTCCATGGCATTGCAATTGGGGGTTCGGCTATATGGCAAACCACGGTGTTTCGGATGCCTGTGACAAGTTCACACATGGATGCGGGGAGATGTTGGGAGACACAAGAAAGAGAGAGAGAGAGAGAGCGAGAGAGAATTCTCTTCACAAGGCCAGCCCTTCCTTCCCGCTTCACTGCCCCATCGATTCTTTTTCTATCTCTTCATCTGTGGCATACACAAAGTAGAAAATGATACAAAAGAAGCTTCCCGGCTTCCCGCTCATCTAGACACCATTTTCATCTTTTAAAGGGTGGTATCGCTTTATGTAAAGCAGAAATTGCCAAGCCAAGAAATACCATGCAGGAAATAACATGAAATGATGGTGTCGCTTTTTGTGCTTCCCTATATCGCTTTACAAGATAATAGTTCCTCTCACATAAAGATGTGTGTACAGACCCTTTGGGATGTTGCTCATTTTGAGAAGAGAAACTCACCAGGCCGATCCAGACCTGATACAATCGTATACTACCCTGAATACAATCGCTCGAAGTCGATGGCGGTGATCCCGTACACCAATTCCCCAACATCTTCGAAGTCGATGCCAGTTTCAAAACAACGAGTTGCCTCTCCTGCAACATGGTTGCCGCCTCAACTCCAAGCCCAGCAACGTCAATAAGGTAGCACTCCCATAGAGCCACACCGCTGCCCGTGTACGGCTCAATCGTTCGGCCTCCACCATCTGCGTGGGCAACACCTTCACCGGATGCAGCGGCGGTCGTAAATCTGCCACCACGCGGCTGGCCAAAGAGAAATCCATGGCGCTACACTGGGGTTTCTGAGGTCACGGGCGGCACGGCCACTGCCTCGCAGCCACACAAAAAGTTGCAGGATGGTGAATATAAACACAAATCGCCCTGGCGTTTGCCTGGCACATTGGAGCCGAATTGGGTCTTGAGAGGAAATGGGTGCGATGAGAATGCTTTCGTGCAATGAATCAAGTCATCTGAAGCACTGCTAGCATCGATGATCGAAGGTCCGGATCAACCCTCAAACACTCTTCAAACAAAATGAAAACTGCACTGAGATGTCACCCCAATTTTGAAAAACAAGAGCCACTCAATTTCTCGGCAACAAGAAGATACTGCATTCTGGCCCCGAGCACCTTGCTTGCGCAGTGGAACGGCCCTCCTTAGAAGTTGGCAAACCACATGCAAATAGTTTAAACCATTCTGGCCCCTCCCAAGTGAAACCGAAGCAAAGCAAGAACCCCCCCCCACAGGGCCAGAACACACGGTACGTTCTGCATCGCAGCACTTCTTCTTCCCACAATTCTCCAGAGCCCCGAAAGACTGGCGTCCTCGTCTTCAGAGGCCGAAGAGGTGTGCATCAAACACCGCTGGTGAGTTGGCCGAAGAGGAGGCCGAAGAGGAGTTGAACACGTGTTTTCGACAAGGGATGTGAGGGACCTGATGGTTTCAGCGCGAACTAAGGAACTAAGTCATACAACTTCAGTTCCTGTTGCATTCAGCAGTACCGCCGCATGCCAGAGGTCGAGGCACCGCATGCCAGAGGTTCTGGGCGGCGACGGCAGCAATTCTGGAGCCAAGATGAGCCGCCAGTCACATATATCATGGGTGTGGGTCAAAAACGGGCTACCCGGGTTAACCACCCAAAATGAACAGATTACCAGCCAGGAATACCCCCTCCCAGGGGAATACCCTGCGCTCCAGGTGCCATAGGTGCCATGGGTCATCCACATAGAGATACACAGCGACTCTGTGTCGCGTGATCCCCAAATAGATCAAACGGGTTCCCAACACAAGAATGAAGTGGGGATCTACGAACTTCTATCTCTTTGGGGTCTATGTCCTGTCTAGTCTTATGTCTAGTCACATGATGTCGACATTTTGCCTGTTCGTTCCACACTGACCTTCGCAGATCTGCCATTCTGACCTTCGCAGATCGTGATCAGCAAAAACCTCCCCCATTTGGATTTCTAGATATCTGATGCCTGTGTGTTTCTGGTGCCTTTTAACATATACTTGATGTTACTTGTACTCAATTGACTCAAGAGTCTAGTCTTGATTTGGTCATTGCGCCACAAGAAACCGCCCCTTTTTCGTCGGGTCGGACGAGAGTCTTCTTCGCGGACGCTTGTTGCGGGCGTGTCGGTCGAGGCTCAGCCTCGCCGTCTGCAGAGTCACAAGGGAGTTCTCCGGATGGAGCTGGTGAATGTCTGAAGAATTCCGTCATTGCATTGCACTACACCAGGATGTGCACTTGGTCACTACAGTATGGAAGTGGAACTTTGCTAAACATCTTTCACTCACAACACTTTTTTCTGCATGTGAAGCCTGGTCTACAGAGAGGTCAACTCTCCTGCCTCCTTTTTCTTGTCCATGGCCCTCATGAGAAACATGAGAAACACCAAGTCACCAGGCAGTTCAGTCCGGTCAAGAGATTTGTGACGCCGCAGTGGTGTGTCTCAAAATGGATCCCTGAAAACATCACCATCAGTCCAGTTCTTCGGTTTGTGAGGTGCCTTCATTTTGAGACCAACCCAGATTTCTGGCAAAGGTGTGGGTTGCCAGGCCCGGTTGGAACCTCCCAATCCCGACTGCACGGCTTTTCAGGCCATCCACTGGGCCCCACAAGCCCTGGACGTGATTGTTGGGAACCCCCTGTTTGTAAAGGAAAAAGGGCCAAGGCTTGACAGTGCCGAAGGGGCCCACCCCACGGGCGCAAGGGTGGATGGGGATGACCTCGCAAGGCAGTCATAAGCCATGTGCAGGGCACATGGAGGAGGAAACCATCTGTACAAGCGGGGCAGAAGGAACGACCTAGCAACTGAGGAATCTGAACACCTGGCAACTAAGATCTCATTCATTCTCAACATGAGAAATCGCCGTCCCGAAAGCAGTCTCAAATCCACTTGAGAACTCGAGAGAAAGTGAGCCAAATCAGAGTTGTCAGCCCAACAGACAGACCTGGCAGCTGCCAAGTCCACGTGGATCGGTGATCGCTCTCTGGGCCGAAAGAAGCAGAAATCTCGTCTGGGTCTTGGACTTCACACCAAGTCCGCCCCGTGCGTAGCGTCCGAACGCTCCTACTAGCGATGCCAGGAGCCCCCGTTCGTAGCGTCCCGCCCCCCCAAAAAAACACCTGAAAGACAACCACAAAATCCACAAGGACCCCGTCATCATGATGAAAGAATGTTGTGCAAAGTTTAAGAACAGAAAGCTAGACTTTTGCGATGTCTAAATGTACATCTTTCGTGAAACTATGTGAAACGTGAAACTTCAGAAAATCAAACGACTGCAGTCAGCAAAAAAAAATGTTTCACTATGTTTCACTATATCTTCGGACCAACCAGGTGGTAGCAGGCAATGATCTTGCAGGATTGCCGGATTATTCATCGCACACTTTCACCAAATACATCCAAATACCAACCCTCCCATCAATTTTGTTACCGCCCATCCCTCGGAAGCGTCCGAAGCGTCCAAGACATGTCGGAGGTCGCCCCAAAAGAGATAGTAGCCGCGGCTCTCCTCCATGACTCCCAAGCCAGGCACCACGGGCTTCCCCTCCTCGAGACATGTGGAAAAGGGCGGGCTTTCCCCGGCGCGAGATGCGCGCGTGGGGAGCTTCTGAGGTTGAGCAAAGAAACCGGAGATAGATATAGATGGATAAGGATAGGACTCGGACAATGTATTCCGAGATGGAATGATATGAACCTGTATTTACATACTTGGCCTAGTGGAAAGCAAAGGGCCAAGTCCACCTTACCTTGCTCCTAAAAGCGGGAGCCAACGAACGAAGGCGCCACCGCCGCCGTTCCGTTTGAGCATGTCCTCATCTTGCCAATTCATGCCGAAGATTCCCGTGAGGAGGTGAGTCGGCATCACAAGCGTGGTGACCAGTGTGAGGACATACAAGACCTGGACGTGGCGGACGCGCAGACGTCAAGACACGTGGAAAACGGAATCTGGCTGCCTGTCACGTACCACATCGCACTACCGGTCTCGTAGGTGTAGCGCTTCGTTGAGCGAATGAAGCTTGCTGTACTTGTTTGCTGGCTTCTTCTTTGACTTGGTGCATCAATTCAGTTCAGTATTTCTGACCAATTGGTGCTGCTTCCATAGATTAACTTGCCTCTCCCACCTAAATCTGGCTGACATGTCAGTTTGATTCAGACTGATATCCTGTTCTTTTCCCTTGTTCTTATTTCAGCCATGGAAGCCCAGTCAGTCACATGCAGTCAGCGCACCTTCTGCTGCTGTCGATCGCGGTAGGAGTTCACCTCATCCCTCAGGGAGTGGCAAACTCCCATGATGCGACTCACCTGCTGCACGCCCACGCGCCCAAGCCAGCGAACACCAACGAGTCACCCCGGTGACCAGGTGCTGTAGCTGGGGGGTAGCTGGGGGGGGTGGCTCTTCCCCACTTCCTGCAAGACCCTCCCGCAGAGGCCACCGACCCCTGCTTCCTTCCCTGCGACTTCCGTTCTTGAACAAAAAAGATGGATCCGGATCAGTCTGGCTTCGGTCGACGTGCCTGACGCAACGTCTGGCAGGTTCTTGGGGGCCAGAGCATCCACGGCTCGCTTTAAAAAGGGACGTCTATGGTGCCGATGGTGCTATGGATGTCCTTTTTGCTGTTCCCGCTGACGCTCAAAAACCACCAAAAAGGGTGTAATTGTTGGTGCTTGGCCCTGTAGTTTTTCCACGAAAGACTGCCACTTCATGGTGAAGTCCGCAAGAATGGTCGTAACATGTCGTAACTGACCCTCCCTGGTCGCAACGGCCGCCTCTTCAAGGAAGGTGTTGAGGTGATCTTCGATGTCTTCCAAGTAGCGCGTGACATTGGGGTCAAAGGCCTCGCGACCGCTGCGTGACCCATGGGTCAAATGTGGGGGGGCAGTCGGCTTCCGGGCCGGATCCAAATCTTCTTGGCTTCTCTTTTATGTGACAAAATGTGTACCAGCTTGCTTTAACCATATCATAAACAAACCAACACGTTGGTCATCTCTTTGTTTCGTCACACATTCTCATGGCTTTTCAAAGAGCTGGCCTTGTCTCTGATGATGTGCTTCAGCACCTTGATCATTGGGCGAACCTTCCGCTGGAGCCAATCCAGCTCCACCTGGCGAGCGTCACGCGCACGGTTGAGTGAGAATGAGATTCCAGATTGGGTCGCTTCAACATCGTGCCATTCTGCAAGAACAATCAGTGAGAATCATGTGCATCTGGTGGTGGCTCCAAAGCAGAAATGGCAAAAACATCAAACAAATTGCCAAACCTCCTTGCCTGGTCTGATTCTTGAGCTGTCCCCCTGACCCAATGGTTTTTGATATGAAATTGATATATGTGTTTTGGTCTATTTTCCTTCTTCCAGGGGGTCGAACTGGGAGATCTCCCGATTTTAATACACACCATACACACCCCATCCACCACGCTCCGACACCTCCCCACCCATTCATCGAAGCCATACTCCCGCACCTTGCTCCGCAGGAGGCGTTTCTCCACGTCCTTGGAGACCCGAGCCTCTTCCCGGGTGATGAGGCTTGAGAACCACCGCAGTTGTGCTCGGTACCTGGGCAGATCAGCGGAGGTTCTGGGCAGATCGAACATCTTCGTCGTCTTTTGTGGAGCTGGGACATGTTCAACTAATTGTAGACGCTTGATTAACTAATAAACCCCCATATGACATCATATTTGAAGAAGAGGTTAAGAGGTTCTTCAATCCAAATGGGGGGGCTTTCATAATCAAGAGTCTATTAATAAATGTTCAAAATCTATCTAAAAAATTTTATGATTTCCCACAAGTTTGTTCGACCCCGCTTGGCCGTCATGGCCTACCTCCTGGGTCTTTCGGACTCGGACTCAGCTCGTCACGCCGAGAGGATGGGCGAAAGCTCATCCACCGTCACATCCAACAAACGCCTGGTCAGTCAGGCGGATTGACGCAGCCAGGTCGAGTGAGAGACAGAGGATTGTGACCGAACAAAAAGAATCAAAGGTGATGGTGTGGAGAAAGTTCATTGCCATTTCAACCAGCTCAACTTGAAACCAAAATAATTAGAGCTTTTTCGTGGGTTGAGCATGGCAAAGTGAACTTCTTACACGATGCTAGCATGGTGACCAATAGCGCTGCTCGCCCCCTCAGCTGGCCACCATAAGACCCAGGAGGAATTCCCCGAGCGCAGCATGGAGTAGTCTCGCTGGATTTGTCGCACGACCTGGCGAGCAAGCTCCGAACGCCGTCGAACGCCCCGCCGTCGAGGCTCTCGAAGAATTGGAGCCTCAACCATTTTGGGGGGGATGCCCGAAGCAAACAACGATGAGGCCAAACACAAATGAGATGAAGATCTTTGGAATCTTTCAGGAATGTGCTTTCTGACTGGAGAATCCCATCGAGAAAGAACAGATTCTCATTGTTCAATTCACACCACCTGGGCCCTTTTCGAGCCAGCTTATCACGCAGAAATACCAAGCAGGCCAGCTATACCCCTGCAAAGAAGTCTTGCTCTTCCCCCGAGTCTTGCCTGAACGGCGCAGCTCGGCGTACCAGATTTGCCCCACAAAAGAAACTGTTCGGTGCCTTGTGAGTGGTGTGAAAGTTCACTGAATTTCAGCCTCAGCCTTGGTGGCTTGCAACCTTGTTTTCTGCGCAAGCAACGTCTGAGCGGGTTGCCCTATCAAAAAGTCTGCGCATAATTTGGCAACAAATTAATAAAACACTGTCAGTCAGCAGCACGCGACTGCATCTAAGAGGAGTCCTTTGGCTCATGTTCAAATCGTGCAGCCTGCTTTTTCAGATCATCAAAAAGGTCTTTGAACATGCCGCTCTCGTCTTTCAGGGTTTTGAGCAACTCCTCACCTGTGTCTTCATCTTGTAGCCACTTCATCTCATCAGATTTAAAATCCTTAATGTCTCCTTTCACATAAAGCAGCGACTTTTGTGACTCTCCGAGTTGAGCTTCGAAGCGCGCGATATCTTGTTGAAGGTTGACAACACTGATTTTGTTGACTTCCGCCGCAATGTGTTCGATCAAGCCTGGAGCTGCTACAACGGCTGCTGCCACCGGACCTTCCCAAAGTAGAAAAACTGCCCAACAAGCTTGTATAGCTTGTTTAATACCTCCAAAAGAGCTAGTCTCCAACTGCTGCTTTGCGAGTTTGACCTGATTAGCCAACTGGCGGACTTTCTCGATCAGAAGAGAGTAGGCCTGGTAATCTTGTTCAAAGTTGCGAATCCAGCCATCAATGTCGTCATTCATGTGACGAAGAAACTTCTTAGCCGATTTAGCTGTTGTAACGTTGACCAATCGATCCTCAAGCCACTCAGCGCTGTGCCGCATGCTTCTCACATGGACAGACACATTTCCGCCTATGTCAAGGTACTGGTATCGAACACCCAAGTTGAAGGCCGTGTCTACATCGTCTATGGTGGCTTTAGAGAGGGCCAGATTGTCGAAGTGCTGGGCCAGATCGAGGGACAATTGCGCAAGCTTCCAAAGGTTCGGCACAAGCACGAGATTGAGCGTGTTTATGTTTCCGATCAAGTCCTTGACAATTGGTACCCCTGCTGCCAGTGCCTCGACCTCGAAGGAAGTCGTTCTGGCAATTGATCCAAATCCGACCACATCAAGCGTGTGGGACGTCTGCGCATCACAACGGATGGGATAGACACCAACTCGAGGACGTGATCATGGCTCTGCGAAGAAGCTGTCTTCCCTCTTGGAACACCTCCGCTTGATTGCCGCCATCCTTTCTGGCAGCCTTTCTGGAACATGTCGCTGGAGTTTTTGCTGGTGCTCGACTGGACTCCACCAAGGCTTGCTGAAGGTTGGCAAAAGAATGCCACATTGCGAGTGACGCAAGCATGAAGAATCCAACTCGATGCCGTGCGAACGCCATGAAGGAGCGAGTCAAGGCGTGAAGTACTACTTCTGGATCCCAACCAGCACTTGCCTCATGAAATGAAGAAGGTCCCAGTTAAGTGTTAACCTTTGCCCAAAAAAAACAAAAATGAGTATTTATTCTGCAAAGAGTTGTAATTGTAGAGAATACATAGGGTATATGGAAATACGACCAAGCACTAGGAGTAAACATCGTAAACATGTCAAACCTGTTCCTCTCACCCAACAAAACAGGTTCGTTTCTCTGTCCACTGTGGCCTTGCCGAGGGTAATCTCAGCTGAATAGAGCTCACCACACCACCGCCAGGCGTGGGCACCGGCCTTAGCTGGGGGGCCACACCTGGCCTTTGCAGAACCTGCAATCGTCGGGCTATACAAGTAGGCCTTCAAGTAGTAGATCACCTGGTAAGTAGTAACATTTCCGGCCATTACAAGTAGCAAATGCACATCGGAAGGCTACAAGTCTAAGTTCGGGACATGGGAAGTGGTGTTTCCATCAAGGGTCTTCCTGGCTCAAGGGTGGCAGGCAGGTGTGGGGGGAAGGGTTTCGTCGTTTTGATGTCCGATCCCTGTTTATGCAGGTGCTCGCCTGCTAAGGTTGAACTGACAACCTGGGGGTGGTCAGTAATACGGCCAAATGAACCCTATTCCAGGTGGCCCTGTAGAATATCAAGTCCTCCAAGACATAAGACATACAAGAAATTGGCCTAAAAGCTTTGTGGGGTTCATCCACCTTTAAGATCTTTAAGTGGGCTCCAGACCACGTGAATGATATATATATATATGACAAAGAATTGCTGGTTTCAGAAACACTGCGCAAATTGGTACAACTTGCAAGTACTTCAATCCGCCAATGTGCTTCTCCCAACATGGCCAGGTAGACCAGTAGACCCGACTCAACTGCCCCTCCGCCTGGTGAGCCCTGTCCCATCTCATCTGCTCCAGGCGATGCAGCTGAACGGTTGGCCGATTGGCCTGGCCAACCGTTGGCTCGCTCGTGACACGTCACGAAAAGGCCACTAAACCGGATTCATCGGATGGTGTGTTTAGGAGATTCATAGTTCGATAGGGAGGTTCATTGGATATTTCGTCCGGTTCGCTTCATCGCATTCTCCGATATCCTGGTGTAAACCATGGGAGCGCTTGTGGTTCTCCTGCCACCGGTAGGCCTGTGGTCAGGCCGCATCGGGCAGCCCATGGCTGAGGTCGGTGCTGGACACCACGTCTGGTCCATGGCAGCACTAGTCGTTGGGATCGTTGCAAGAACTAGAACTGTTGTTGCTCAGGTCCCACATCCTTACTGACTGGATTCCTGGCTAATCATCTGCAAGGGTTTGGAGGTTGATGGGAACAAAACTCCTGCACCACCTGTAATAGCACAAGAAAAATGAAAGAAAAGACGCACGCGCACCTTCAACAGGGTGTGGCAAATGTGTGAGCCTGTATTGCGTGGAGAGGAGGATGCTACTAGTGAACCCTGGAGGGTCCACTAATCCAATTCCAGCATTGGGAGTCGAGTTCACCTACCTCCCGTGCGAACAAGCACCTTTGGAGACCTCCCGTTTGGGAGACAGCCCACCCCACACGTGCATCACTCCGCTCACTTTCGCATCGGCCTTCGTTGTCGTAATTGTCCGCATGCAGCTTGCTGACTTTCCACTCGGTCATGAAGCTAATGACCTGATGGCAAGAGCTCAAATTCCAAAAATGCTTCTGCACCTGAGAATCATGAGGTTCAATGTTCGAGTCTTTCACCACAGCGGTGCAAGCGCTTTAGCTATGAACACCTTGCAACCCTTGCAAATCTAATCTGGATCATCTAGAAGCCCACACGTTTCATGCCACAACCCAGTTGCTCAGACTGAGAACACTAGTCTCCAGTCCACAGTCTCTTCCATCTGCTCCCCCCGAGTTCCCCCAAAAATCATGCGGACACGTCAACCTCCGTCCCGTCCACTGAGTCCATGAACTCCAGAGGACCCCTGGAGCGCTCTCAGTTCGACCCGGGGACCGTGTCATAGTGTGGCGGCCCAGCGGTGAAGGCTGCGAAGCGACACTGCTCCACCTGACCGGTGAAGAAGGCCGAAGCCGTGCGGTACAACGTAGGGCGGTTCTTTAGGGGTCTGAGGGTTTTGGTAGAAGTCAAAGCGGAAGGTGGGCGATGGTTGGCTTCCACATCCTTACCGAAACATCCTAATTCATGATTTGTCGCCAGATGCTTCATAGGCTTGTCAGGTGTGGAGAAGTTCGGATGTGGATTTCAGTGTTTGGTGCATCTCAAGGGGTGCAGCCTGGTTTCGAGCAACTCCTAGTGACTGCAGTGACTCCCCTTTCATTCGAAACTGTCGTATCATTCCTTATTAATACTGTATAACTCATATACTCTTGTATATAAGTTTCCTTTTTGAAGTGCTAAACACACACACCGGACTTCCTTGTCCATCCGAACACCACCGGACCACCGGACCCGTTTTGGAACGCCCGCGGCATTTGGTCCGTCCGTCCCCCCCGTCCTGCGGAATGTCGATGAGGTCTTCCAGCTTCAGGTCGTCCGAGGCTCGCCTAATCGAACACGGCACAAAGAACATGGAATCCAGGAGTCGTGTTACGGAATCCAGGCACTATATATATATAATTAATTATAATTATAGATAAAACGAAGGAATCAGCGGAAATTGGGGTGTGAACGAGTCTTTATTGTTGGATGATGTGATCAGTGGATCTGAATCCTTCTAGATAACAGCCATGACACATTAAAAAATTCCAATGATTAGTGCCTACGCCGTTCCGCTTGAGTGACCACTGAGGCTTCCCCTCTCAGGGTAGGCAAGCACAACCATTGTCCAAACAGCACGTGATACTACGTGGATGTACAACCTGACAGCACCCATAAGAGTGAGGCGGCTTCGACCCACCTCTCTTGGCTCCCAGGCACTGGCATCCGTATTCTTTTGTCACCCTAAGAATGCCAGCAGACTTCTGTTTTGGGACCTGTGAATGAGAAGTTCTTTCTTTCTTCCAAAAAAAGGACCGTCGGGTTCTTACCCGACTCGAAGCCTCCCAGACCAAGCCGTGCCTGGTGCGGTATTCCTTGTAGATGCTCAGCTTCCTGGCTTCGAGTCGAAGCCGTGCCCGTGCGGTGCCATCGGCTGGCCAGTGGAAAGCAGCGCCTCTTTGCTTCTTCGGTGAGCCGCAAGAGCGGGATGACAATGAAGAAGTTGTCATTGTATTTCCGTACCTCAGGTAACGCGAAACTGACACCTGTCGTTTGGTCGTCTGGACCTGAAGTTGATGTCGGACGGTCATCCATCCTATTAGAATCGCCAAACAACTCGACCCTAGCCTTCCAAGACCAAAAATGGTGGACCGGGTGTTAGCAATCCAAAATCCTGAGTACAACAATGATGGTTGTTCCGTAAAAAGAACCGGTAAATAGGTGGTTCAAATCCGCTTATATGCTCTACTTCACTCATACTCCACTCCAACCTACGAGACGATCCTCTGAAAAACCCTGCAAAAAGCGGTCGGACGTCACTCTTCTTCTGCCTCGACGCCTTCGATGGTGGACGGTCGAAACGGCCCGGTCCATCTTCGGCTCCCCAGCGATGGGAACAGACTGCTGTTCGAGTTGGATGGTATCTTCCACCTGGGACGGACCAAAAGATACAAGATACATGGTTTTTTCTTAATATGTTGTTTTCAGGTGGGTGCAACCTGGGGTGCAACCTGGGGATGTTCCAAGGAAGATGTCGCACGTGCGGAGGCGTTTAAAAGGTTTTAAGTACAGTAGGATGTTTGGGTCGTAGCGAGGGTCTTGACGGTATCTCCTTGGCATGAATGAATGGCTTCAACAAAGCTTTCCCTTCTTCAGCCTAGGAATGGGTGAAAAGCTCACCATGGGGTATGAACACATTCATAGACGATTTAGGAGAACCGCAGGGGGGCGATGGAAGCAGTGAAGCCTACCACTCACATTCCTTGACCGCACTGACTCTCAGAATCAATCAATTCAGAATCAACATGAATTAATACTTTCCAAGATGCTCAACAGTACTGCTCAACTGCTTGCTTTGGTCATCCTGGCGTTGATTTACTTGGTCTCTGGGATGGTCTGACCCCATCTCTCCTCATCGCCGCAGCGCCACGCTGGCTGGGCACATGACCGGCAGCGGGTGCAGCTGATACTTCACTGCAAGACGCAGAATTGTCGGCCGCTCCACACGTGCACAGTGGACCTCGAGCTGTGCACGAAGCAACTAAGATGGAAGTTTGATGAGATATTTTCAAGCCCCCGGGCCTGAAGAGGTGGTTCAATCCGGACTCAGGACTCAGGTCTTTATGAAGAGTCTACAGAATGAGAAATAGAATATACAAACATAATTACAGTAAAAATAGAAACTAAAACTCTCGACATTCCCTGAAGGATCGGTTCCCAGCAGGGGATGGTCGAAGCCAAGCAACAATAGGCATCTTTTAGTCTAGCGGTCTAGCGGCTCTTCGACAGTACATCAACCCTGCAAGAAACTCATCTGTCCGGTACGCCAAGCACCAAATCCATCCCAAATCCGCCCAAAAAACGACTTCACGAACGCGACATCCTCACAAACGCCCACTTCCTCACAACTCCCCAACCTTATGGGACCTACACCCAGTATGGGAGGCCTGGGGCGCCGGACCCATCGCATCTTCATGTGAGGTTTCCGATGGGTCAAGAACATGTCCATCGGTCTCGGGAGCCTCGCAGAGCCGAGGAAGCCGTCGTTCTGCCCGCTCGGTTCAGAGCCGGTACAGAGCCGGTTGCAGCCCATCACCGCAACATGTGCAGAATATAAACCCCCCCTTCCAACTGGTGCCGAAGAAGATCTGGCCAGCTGAGGTACAGAGTGGAATCCTGGAAATCATGGATTTCAACCAGCGTTTGGTTGTGTTGCTAGGTCAACGCTGAGTCGCTGAGTCTGTTACATGTCAGCACTGTACACAGGAGTGTGGTGTAAAACTCTTGGATAAGACATGCCTGCGTCCCCAACAGGTCTTTTTAAATGGCTCTGATGTAGCTGCGTCACTGCCTGCTGGCAACCTGCCACAGCCTGTCACCCCCCAATTCGGGAGGGGTCTACGCTCGAAAAAAACGACGAGTACATTCATGCACCAAAACACCCACTGAGTCACCAGAAAACAATCTTTTAAGAAAAAGCAAAACTTCGACTCATCTGCCTACATCTAGACCGTCTATGTATAGACGTCTCCGCGTCTGCGTCGATATAGGTTCTTGTTTGCCGTGCCGCCGTCTCCGTATACGGTACCATTCAACACACACACTCTGACACTTGTATTCAGTGACTCAGTTACCACGTTGGGAAAATGGTGAGGGAACAGCAAGGTGCATGAGTCGGCCAAAACAGTATTGTTTAAAAAGTGTTTCCACAGGTGCAAGTCTGCAGAACGATCTGTCGGCGCTGCTCAGCGGGAAAGCGGCTGCAAGGCTGTGGCGGGGATAGGTTTGGGGGAAAGTATCGTGGAACCACCATGAAAGCAAAAGAGAGTGATTGGAACGGCTTGGTCAAAAGTTCAAAACTGGCGCAGGTACGTTCGGATGATCAGTCCGAATATCCCACTCTGTGACCTAGCTTCGTTGAACTGGGTCAGTCACAGAGTGCCCAGTTCCCCTGCCTGTGAAAGGTGGTGGAAAACTGTGAAAGAAGTGGCGGTGAAAAACCCTTTGTCCAGGGGTGGACACACACACACACATACTAAGCACACTAAGCACACACACACACACACTAAGCACGTCTTGCGTCTTGCTTCACCTCTTTGATAACACAAAGCAAGAGCTAGCCTACCCTACCCAGCCCAACCGCTGCCCTCCAATCTTTTGAACATCCGACTTCTAAACCAGCCCCTGTCTCTTTCCGACAAACTCCGAAAACAAGCATACTCTCAAGGAAGTTTGCCTCGAAAGTGGAGTCTTACCCGGTGGTGATTTGGCAGCCTTGTGGAAGCAAAGTGCTCAGTAATTTCCAGTGTTTGAGCTTAAGAGATCCCTCGTCTACAAAGCAGATCGTGGAAGCATTGCCCGAGGGTCTTAGAACTCCGGTACGGTTGTAATAGAGCTCATCGACGTATTCATCGGGAAGGTTTTCGCACTGTGTCGGCATCTGCTCAGCCACTCTCGAAACAGCCGAGTTATGGTAGGTTGCCAGGGTAAACTGAGACAGCCTGCACGTACTGTTGAGAGCCTTTTGCTTGGTGTACAAGCCATATGCCAAGCGGACGACGTCAAAGGCTGTGGGCGGCTCAGATGGATTGATAACCAGCGGCACATGGAGATCTACACCCATCTTGCAGGACTCCCACTCCGTGCCTTCCAACCGTCTTGTGGCATTGCAAACTACAAAACTCGCCAGGCTGTAATTTCTCTCGTGCAAATATTCGTAGGACACTACATCTACAGAATCAGAAGCCGAATCCAACACGTCTAGAAGTTTCAGCTGGAAATCCGTGAAGTGATTCTTGTCTTTCAAAACTGTGATGAGAAAAGGCTGCGGCATTGCCTGTTTGTTCAGTTTGTTGTGTTGATTCCAAACCGATGCCTGAAAACTCCATACTTGCCGATGCGTAACTACCATCGACAAGCACCGCTTTTGAATAGCAGGTTGGCTCTTGAAGTAATTCCACTCTGCTGTCTTCCACCTGGAGAACTCCTCCGATGATAATATCACAGGAGAATTCTTGGGCATGCTATCAATGACTTGGAACAGCTCCGCCATCCTTGTAGAATTTGCATACTTCGGGTTATAGGGTCTGCCATACTGTTTGCTGATTGTGCTTGCAATGTAGGCAGCTTCTTTCCTAGTCTTGTTGGCCGCCACAAATATGCCATGCTCTTTCTGAAGCCATTGGGCGTGGTCGCACAAGAACTTTTGGAATGAGGTAGTGCCGGTCTTGTGCGGACCCACATGGACCACCAGCGGGAATTTGCACCTTGACAGTCTTAGTTTCTTCTTTTTCTCCTGCCATTGCAAAGACTCACAAAAACAATCCCTTCGGCTCAGCATGGCAGTGACAAGCATAGTTGTAACTGCAGCGAGACAAATGTACACCGCACGGCGATCCATAGCTGATCGACGGAAGTTGGACGATCCATGTAGGTTTGATTTGTCAATCCTGTCAAGCCGGTGACTTTGGGAAAGCGCAAACCCTAGGCCAAAATGTCAACGGTGACAGTTTCAGCTGGAAATCCGTGTAGTGATTCTTGTCTTTCAAAACTGTGATGAGAAAAGGCTGCGGCATTGCCTGTTTGTTCAGCTTGTTGTGTTGATTCCAAACCGATGCCTGAAAACTCCATACTTGCCGATGCGTAACTACCATCGACAAGCACCGCTTTTGAATAGCAGGTTGGCTCTTGAAGTAATTCCACTCTGCTGTCTTCCACCTGGAGAACTCCTCCGATGATAATATCACAGGAGAATTCTTGGGCATGCTATCAATGACTTGGAACAGCTCCGCCATCCTTGTAGAATTTGCATACTTCGGGTTATAGGGTCTGCCATACTGTTTGCTGATTGTGCTTGCAATGTAAGCAGCTTCTTTCCTAGTCTTGTTGGCCGCCTCAAATCTACGGCGTGTCCTCTGCTCTGAGAGCGTGGCTTCTTGAAGTAGTGGTCTTCGATTCGACGAGGACACCAATCAATAAAGCCCAGAAAGCCCTTCTCCTTTGGCGAGACATCAGACCCGACGTTTCGGTAGCGGCCGACACGTTGCTGCAACCATGTTGTTGGTACACCAAATGAGACTGTTGATGCCAGATCTGTTACACATGTTGTTTCGCTCAATGCGATGATCCAACCACGGAACAGCGATGCCAAAAGGGACCAGCCACAGCCTGTTCCAAAAATCCAAGGCCAAACCAGCGACTCGTGTCCAAAACGGGCTGGGCCAAAAGCCACACGAACCCACCGCCCAATCCGAACAGCCCCGGCCGAACGGTTCAGAACAGCCCGGAGTCCTCTGGTAGATCAGCCACCTGGCCTGTTGCCTGCTGTGGAGCGGTGTGACATCTTTGTCGACCCTTTTTCCCGGAAAAGCCAACATGTGAGAAAAACGGTTAAAGGGTGTCACAGATCGAAGCTTCTTTTTTATCTGGCCAAAGATTTCTCTATGTATTGTAGTGTTGTGTAATGTTTTCGTATATACCAACAGCATGTCATTCAACATGCCATTCCACAAGTCATCAATCCGAAACAAGGGGAGTCTGTGCTTCGTCGCAGGATGAGGGAAGTTTTGCCATGCAAATTTCGCGCCGGTGAGGCCGCGGAGGACCAATCCAAGCTTCCACATAACCTGGTGCAGCAGCAATCATTCGACTCGAAAAGGATACAGTATATACTTCCATGTGTTATTGTTGCGAAATAGTTAATACATCCGGTGTTAGACTCAACGGACCTGTCCATCTCAAAAGAACAATGTCGCTGATAAGTTGCTTCAATGTCCCCCTTCGATTTACATTGATTAAGGTGTTACAACTGGGCCCATCGGCAAAGAAAATGAACACTCATTTGTGTCTGGTCAGGTTGACGAACTCATTATAAATAACCTGTCTTTGAGGTGTAGGTTTCTCTCCCTAGCTGGACCTCGTACCAACCTCATCCAAGCTGGCTCTGTCAGACTTTACTTGAAGAGCTCTCGTCCGACCACAGTCATCAGGTGTAGGTCGCTGACAGGTGCAGCTTCAGGTGTCTTAGCACCGCATGGAAGCTCTGCAGATCGAGCCCCTGGCTGTGGTGCGCAGAAGCAAGTCGAAGCAGGTCGAAACATGAGAGGAGAGGAGAGGAGAGGAGAGGATGACCATTCTTTTGGAAGGACCACGAAACCTACCAGCCGTGAGGCCCAGAAGAAGTAAAAGGGGCTCTCGTTTTCATCCTTCTTTCATCAGATCATGGAGATTCATAGAGTGAACATGGTCGCATCTGGGTTGGCGAAGTGATCTTCGATGTTTTCATATGGGCTTATCATGGGTTCACCGCCACCTTGGTCCAACAAGCCGTCAGTTGACTGTGATGGTGGCCACTGATGTAAGAGATGCTATGACTGAAAGCCCTGAGAAGAGGGAAATGGATGCAGAAGTCCTCAATTTTTTTCTGACAAAAAAGTGTTGTCCAACTCTTGCGGCAAGTTCAGATGGCCTTGCAATCCTCTAAGGAGCAAAAGCATGTTTCAGGTGAGAAAGGTGAAAGGAGTCCAATCTCTCTGAAACTTCAAAATCTTTGACCAATGACCCCGAAGCAAACAACACGATGTGGGGTGTGGGTGTGGAGAAGTACATATGCCGCTTCACAGATACCTGGAGGATCAATACCCCAGCTTCCGGGTGATCTTGAACTTGCTTAAATTAGCATACTTGGATCAGTAGAATGCACAGATTCCCTAGAAGAGGATCCCAGATTGAGGAACATCATTGAAATCGTCATTGATCCTGCAAGCAGCAGACCCAGGTTCTCTGGTCTTCTAGGACCTTTCACTGGCAGCCACCCAGGTGGCGCAGAAAAAAGATACATCACTCTGACTCTGACCAGAGGAGAATCAGATTGATCTCCTTCTGACGCAAACCAGGCCGTGCTGCGCCTCTTTCCCAATGGCGTCCCAGAGCTGTTGGAATTCCCGGCACTGCTCCAAGTGTTCGAAGCCTTGCTGTTCCAACGCCTCCGGGGTCAGCGAGGCTGGCTGCAAAAGACTCAACGCGCAGCAAAACCATTCCGGCCCTAGAGCCAAAGAATGATGAAACGGCCACAGAAATGGGGAACATGAAACCACTGAAGTTTTGAAAGGGTTGCCATGCCCACGAAAAAACACCGAAGAAGCACCCAAATGACCGTATTTACCATCTGTGTCTTGTCTCAATACTGCCAGATGTCCATCATTTCCACCAGCAGTCACATGTCGCTCGCTCGGGGTGGTGTGCCTCGTCCCGACCCTCCGTTCGAAGTCGCACCGGAGGAGGGATCATCGAAGCCAGGCGATCGACGACCGTGGGCAGCGACCGTGGGATTGGTCAGGACCCGGATTTGGCCAAAACGTCGTCTTGACCAATCAACATATTTACTATCTATGTGTTAATTTGACTATCTTGACCAATCAATAGTTGTTATGTTGACGATTTATTGATCATGGAGCCAATGTGATATGGAACGAGGTCCATCGAGGCGAGGCTCCCATCCCAGCATCCCACCAAGCACCCGGCCTTCCGCATCTGATCCAAGTTGATCATGTACGCATCATCGGAGGTTCTCGGACGTGGAAGGCACAAAAGATAGATCAGCACCACCAACCATTGAGTGGACCATGTTGACCAAAGAGTGGAGCCAACTTCAGGGGAAAGAAGCCGAACTCTTCAGAACCACACATAGTAGACTCTTGATGAACACAACGACATGGATGGTCAAAGCTCTTATCCCATGTCTTGTCCATCTCATCATCCTGCCACCCCCCGCGTCCTCTTGCTGACCTGTCTTTGGGTGCCCTGCATCGACCGTCTCTCCCACCGTCTCTCCGTCGACGAACCACTCGGGCGCCAAGTGGCATCGAGAGGCTCCGGGGCCGCTGGATCTGACTCCTGGGGATCGAAAAGACCACTCGGATCGAAAACGATTAAGGATTTAGGAACCATGTGGTCGGTTCCGATTGCTGTTCGGTTCCGATTTAGACCACTCCGTGGCTTTCCAGGTGAACAAAAAGATACTTGAGGATTTCGAAGAGCAATGGCTTCCATGTCCGGGTGCGGACGAACATGGAGGAAGGATGGGGGTGCCCCAGAACCTCACATCCACGAGCCCCATCCATGGGACGAGCCAGCCCCCACCCAACTCGCGACCTGTGACCCCCTGGTATGTCAATTAATCAGTGTATGAAAGGATATGAAAAGAAACTCTATAGTCCTGAGATGAACCCAAAGCTATTCTATCAATTCGTGTATGTGTATGTATATTTACACAATAACAAGCATGCATGTAACAATGTATGTTTTTTCCACTCCACTTGGAATTTGACACCCCTTGGCCCATCGGCCGGACAACATGGACAACATGGAACAACCCGGTGCTCAAAAAGAAACCAAAGTGGCTGTGTGGACCAAAAACATCCTCCGCCGCCTCTATGCCAAACAACATCAATGAACATCCGAAGGCATGTCATGGCTGGAAACGATGCTAACCATCTTGACATGCGTTTGGTTGTTCGTTTGGTTTTGGGGTTTCATTTGAACTTGTATATAGAGGGCCTATTTCCTGTAGCCTGTTTGGCAAGTTTGCATGTGTCCTATCTTAGACTAGTATTGCTTTGAAGTTTGGACTCGAGTTCTTTCCAGCGAGCGTAAACCCATTTCCACGGAGAGCCACTCGTGAGGTTGCTTTCATGGTCCTTCGAGAGGTAGCCATACATGCCAAAGTATGAAGCATCACGAAACCATTCAGTACTTGCTCTCTCCAACTGCTCCAAGCACTCATTAAAGTGGTCCTCAAGTAGATTTTAAAAGAAATAGCAAATCTAAAAAAAAAGTGACCAACAATTACATGTTTACTCTTTTACTTCTATCTATACTTGGGGATCTATATATGACTGGAGCACATCAATCACCGTTCTGCCGGCCCGAGGCACATGGCAAAAGCGTCCATCTCGGCCGTCGCCTGGCGCCTCAGTGTGCTTCACCACGGCCCCTTATCCCCCTGGAGGGGCCGAGCCACACCACCACCCCTGGCCTCCGTGTGTGAGTTCCCTGGCGAGTCGCCCCGGGCCATGTATCTACCGCCAGGCTCGAAACGAAGGTGTGGGCCCAAAGTCCATGCGAACGCCTCGCTTGTGACGCTTGTGGTCCATTTTTGTGTTCTTCGACCAAATTACCAAGAAGTACAGAAATCAGGATAGCGAGCTCCCTCTACTATCCAGGTTCCACTGTAATCTTTACTGGCAGGGTATCTGCCAGTGCCCGGACAGCGCTCTCCAGCTTGTCACCCTCATCTGCCTCGCATCCTTTTCGTCGATACTGATGGCCCGAGAGAGCCGGTAGAGCCCCAGATGCGAAGGACGCCATGCTCTTTAGGCAGGTTGGTCTCGCGAGGAAGCCTGATCTTTTGCTTGAGCGAACCGTCTTCTTCTTTCGGCGTTCCGCTCGGGGAAGCCCCTCTCAAAAGATCAACCCTCCAACGGTGGCACAAAAATTCAATACTGGTGTTGCACTGCTCAAGAATCAGTCGCCAGTAGCGCTTGCTCGAATTTTTGGGAGGCATGTTTTGCTTCCCGTAGTTCCAAGCTCAACCACGGGAAGCTGGCTGTACTGCATGATCAAACGCACAAAACGCTAGAAACTCGGCTCCAAAAGTCCGAGAACTGTGCATCTAATTCATGGCAGGCATGCAGGTTGGCCAACCCCGTGTGAGAAGGCCCTTTTCAGGATAGAAAAGGTATCCAAATTTTGACCAAAGAATGTGAAGCACAATGAAACAAACAAGTCAATGCTCAGCCTATCTTCCCGAAAAGGCTCTCTGGGCTGGACCACCTGCAAGCTGCTCGTAATCTCAAAACTCATCCTTTGTTTGTTGCACAAAGAGGGCTCAAGTCCATCACATTGGACAAATAGTCGAAGATCAAAGGTCGCAAAGATGAACCTGAGATTCATCAGGTGAAAATGAGTCATCTTCAGCGCATGGAGATGCGTTGCCGTTACCAGATGATCGAAGCAATACATGACGATGCAGCACTTGGTATTTTGGTAGGCACATCCAGTAGTATGCTGTACAATGATCTGGCAAATAGCTGGACTTCTTCCATCAACAGTAGGTGTCTTTAAAAAGCTTAAAGCCCACATGGCGGGCCACACCGTGATGTCCCAATATCTACCCAGACCTCATCCCACCTCATCCCACGACGAGAGCCCGTCGTCCGCCAAGTGTCTCACATCAAGGGGAGAGCTGGTGCCCCAAGGCACATGGCCAGCACCCTTCACCCAGACTATGCGGTTCCGTGTAGCTGGCATCCCACGTGCCAGAAGGTAGGTGTGAGTCATGACCTCGGTAGGTGGGGGCGTCGCATTGCGCGAAAAAATAAAATATAGAAAAGGCGAGGAAGAGGGGGAAGTCAGAGAGTGTCTCAAACGACGTTGATGAAAAAGAACTAGACCACGCATGACCACGCCACCCAGTCGAGGTGTCTATATGAACCACCCCTTGAGGGAAGGCCCTGGTCAGCCTCGTAAGCTGTGACCTGCCTGCCTTGATCAGCCAAGTGGCAGGAAGAAAGGGAAACACGATGCTGTCGTCGGTGCCGTGCACATTGAACCAAGGTGTGATGTTCCGCACGGGGTTCGACGGATCACCCACCAGGAATGGCCACATGGTGCCAGAGATACCTCGCATGACTGAAGGATGGTGCTCACAGGTGCTCACAATGGCCCAAACAAAAGGGAGGAGGAGATGGCGCCAAAACAGGACCCTGGTGTTGCCAACCGATCGATTGAACAACTCCCTCTACAAAGGGATCGTCAACCTTCCATGGTTTGTAGGGTTTTCGGTTTTGACCGCCAGATGGGAGACATGGAATTTGACCATCTGCGTCATCCTGCCTCCCCCAAAGCTCTTCCCAAGCATCATCACTTTCAATCACTTTGAACCCTTTCAGGTCCCACGGTCTCCCTGGCAGTGAGCTTTAGACATCTAGAAAGCGTCACTTTGAACCCTTTAGACATCTTTAGACCCATCTCCCCGAAGGTCCCACCATCTCCCGAAGGTCCCACCAACTCCCAGCGACTCACCGCCACGGAGATGTTCGATGGCCATCCCGGATTGCCACTGCTGCCCTCACTCGCCAAGCTGTTCATACTGATCGCCGTGATGCCACCGGCCTCGGGCGACCACCACCATGGGACGGCTGAGTTTGAGCACAGGAAGAATGCGATGAAGACCACCAGTCGGAGTCAGAGCTGTGTTCTGAAAACCACTGCTGTTTCTTTTTGGGAAATGGGACAACACCGGCAGCACGTGTTTGATCTTTTTTGCCCGGGCGAATCATTCTGATCTCTTCTTTCTGCTCGTTGGAATCTGCACAATCCTTCTCAAGATGCCTGGCCTGTCGTGTCTGTCATTCCCTGATGCCTTCGAAAGTGGATTGACTTGACCGAAGTAGGTGAGTTGACCCCACCCTCATCCACCCTTTACCGTTCGGTAGCTTCACAAGAAGTCCACCAATTGCGTCGTCTAAGCTAATTGATACCAGGACCCTCCTGTCGGGGTGTCTATTTATAGCCCCTTAGCTGTTAAGGGGTGTCCATTAACCACCCCTTGAGGGTCGTGATTTCTCCGGGTCCCCACGTTTTGCTCCTGCATCCACAGGCACCGACTCGCCCCAGGCCGCAATGCGCGTCGCATCCACGCCATACTCCTCGGCGTGGCGAGCGATGAAGCGTACCGCGGCCTTGGCGTCGTGCACCGCAGCGCGGACGGCGGGCAAGTCGACCAAGTAGAAACCTCCGCTGCCAGAGACCGGTCACTAGTGGCGCCGGACGGTCGGAGAAGCGGAGAAGCGGTGGGAGAAGGAGGCCGAAGTGGAAGCGTAGGGGCAGTTGTAGGGGCAGCGTCCTCTTTGTTTGGGCAAACATCATCGTATAATGTTTCCTGCATCCCAAAACCCACAGATTGCTACAAGAGTGCGGGAGGTGCAGAAATCTGAAAGTGGTCCCAGTCAACCCAACCAGTTGAAGCTATCTGAATGGCTGAAAACTGGTTGGGGGTTTTACATGGGTTTATTAATGCTGGGAGTCCACTATACATAGAATTCTCTGAAAAGGGGACCTGAAAAAAAAAAAGCTGAAAACTTCACTAAGGGAAAGTCAAGTCTATAGTAAAAGTCGTTGGACTTCTAGGGACACGTAAGAAGCTCGTCGTTTGGACACATTCCCAATTGCAGCCCTTATTGGAGTTCGTAAACCCTGGGAGTCCAAGACCCTATAAAGTAAACCCTATGAAAATCAAATGGTGGTTGGAATCCTAAAGGCTATATAATATGTTTGTGTTAGAGTATTTGGTAGATGACTTCACCTCCCAGACTCCAAACCGTTCCGAAAAAGCCGCGTCCACCGCGGGACTCCGCGCGACCAGGTCGACCAACCCCCAAACGCCGCGTCCGGTCCGGGATGGTCCGGTGATCCACGGGTTCCCTGGCGGGGTGCGTTCGCTGAAAATCCAAGTCTCTGCCATCCACACGGTAATCGATGTTGAAGACGACATAGCCAGCTCTCGCGAAGTGCTCGGCTTCGGTGGCAATGAGTTCCCAATCTTTACTGCCTCCCATGAAGTTTCCACCATGAATCATTAAGACAGCTGGAGCTTTCGCGCTTCCGTGATGGGAGCGTCTGTACACGTCTAAGAAGAGCTCCGTCTCCGACCCATCCCTCTCCGAATAGGCCGAACCGTACTTCACGTTGCGGGTCACTAAGACGTCTGCGGAGGCATTCGCGCAGAAACAACCCTGGCAAGCCTCAGATGCATGAAGGCCATCCAGAGGCAGCTAGGGGAAGGGGCAAACAGCTTTGAGAAGGCCATCCTAAGCTAAGCTTTGTTTAAGGATTGCGGCTTCTCAGCTTGTCACAGCGTGTCAGATCAACGAAAGTCCACGATGGGATGGCTGCCTTGATCGGAAAGAGAGCGCTTGTTGGCCCCTGCTGCATTGAGAATTGGGTGATTACCAGACCCAAAGAATCCGTGGTGGGAGAAGATCTCATCTTCGATCCTTAACATGCTCTTTCCCATGCAAACACATGAGAACACCATCCCATCCTGCTACTCTCACTCCCCACTTACTTGCTCCGAAGAAGCCCAGGGAAGCTCAGGTTTCATGGTCTCCAACCAAAGCCCCGGCGGAAAGCAGTGAAACATCATGAAGACAGCCGAAGCAGCGACCTCGGCGACCGCCACGGCGGCACGGGAACACGGACGAGTCGGACGTGTTTTTTCACGTGTCGTTCCGTCGTGTCTCTTTTGGCGGGTCGTGTTTTGTTCGTTTTGTTCTGTATCTGTGATCAACTCAAGTGACTCCAGTGGTGGCTGAGTCCCTCCCTAGTGCTGGACGAAAAGCGGTTTAGCTGAGGCATGAGATACCACAAGATTCAACTGTGTACTCTACTCAGCCACAATGATTTGCTCAATCCGACGGAGATTCGCAATGATTTGCATAGTTGCTCCCTAATTACACCACTTCAACTTGTGGTTTTACATGCAATTCATGTTTACATCGCGCAAACTTCAAAGCACCATTGTTGTTTGTGGCTTGCCAAAGCAGGAGGCATCCTGTCAGGATATGAATTCATCTACTCCCTGTCCGCGACCCAAAATATTCTTGCCACAGAGGTAAATTATGGATCCATAGGTTCCCGTCCGTCATGGTTTGTGTTTGTCAGGTCCAATGTGTGGGCTATGGCGGCTTGACCAACTTGTTTAATCTTGTTTATTTGTGCATGCAATGATATCATTTTACCAACCTTTATAAAGGATGTTCTGCTCTCATGCTGCCAAGTTGCCATGCAACAGGCGCAAGCACTGGCAGCAAGCACAAGCAGGATGCGAATGCTCCTTGTCAGTTCAGCTGCGGGAGTGGTGGTTTTGTCTTTGCAGTTCGTGCACGTGGCCGACTTTTCTTTATTGGACTGCGAGGCCTCTGAGCTAGTGGCTAGTATGCCCCTGCTAAACAGGTTCGGTGGAAGCTGGTGAGAACCTCCAACACATGCCTCAACGGCCGGCGTGGGGGGCTGCGGGCATCCCGCCCTTTTTGGATGGCCCACTTCTTCGGAAGACGAGTCACCATAAAGCCACCGAGCGACAGAAGCAGCTCCAAAGGGGTGCCGAGCTTGGAGGATAGGGATGCCCATGATCCCCTCACTGGATGGGACTTTAAAGAAACACCCCGTCGGAACTCGCTTCGGACAGGTCGCCATTTCGATCTGCTTCACGGTGCTTTGGACAGGTTGGTTCTTCTCAACCCTATCACACTGAAGGGTAGACGTGAAGTGAAGAATGCGACAGTGCTCCCCGCTCTCCTCTGGCGGCACTTCTTAACCGGTGGTTCCACCGGTGAGGCGATGCCACTGGTGCAACGCCAGGGGCTGACCTCGAGGGGAAGGCGATGGGTCCCGCTCTGCCCAACGAAAAAGGGAACGTCACGAAGGTAGCCCAAGCCAATAAAGCTGGTAAGAACCATACATATACGCTTGACCAGTGGGAGGCCACTGTAAACCAATGGCAAAATGGAAGATCCAATAGAAAATTATATAATCAATCGCATTGATGGGGGCTATCTATTCAGTCTGCACACTCACATCTAACTCATTCCAAGTGAAGCGGCACCTGAAAGGTGTATGCCCAGCTTCATTCTCTCGGAATCGCGAATACAACATCGGTCTTCCAAACTCCTTTTTCAGCCTCAAAGGCTTAGGTCCTGGTGTAATTAGGTGAAAACCCTGGACCGAAATGGACCGAGATCCCTTCGTTTTTGGTGTTGAACTCTCAGAAAAGTCTAGTAGAAACCCAGCCAGTGGATGGACTTGCGCCCGGCCTCCTCTCCACATGGGCTCAGCGCTTCCAGCTCTTCTTTTCGAAAGCGTCGCAGCAGCCTCGGTCTTCCACACTTCCCGAGACGAGGTCTGAGGGAGGAGCCGAGGATGCGTGGGGTCTTCCATCGCCTTCGGTATTTCATGGTATAGGTCCCATTGGTGCTTCCGGTACGAAAGCAAAAGCCGCACGAAGATGTCAGAAAAGTGGAGGGAAGAGTCCAAATGTGAATCCAAATAATCATATTCTCCTCAACACTGACAACTGCACAAAGGCACCCCTCTCAAAGGAGGGTATCTCAAATTCTGGCCGCCGTTCTTCGACATCCAGCCAGCCAGTGTGTTCAGTACATTTCAGCCCAGGCACAGAAGAGGAACAAGGGCCAATGAGATTAGACTGAGTACGCCGTTGCCCCAGAAGATGCACCAAAGGAACAGCCAATCTTGCTCCTAAATCATCGCGAGTGAGATCAGGTGGCGCGACCCTCGCCAAAAGGAGGTAGAAACCAGTTGTCTAGGACCTGTGGGACCACTTTCTTCAGCTTCCTCGTGGCACGCAATGTTCAGAAGAACACCGAGCCACGTCCCATCATACAGTATCTAAGAGGCCAAGAAGTCAAGCGCTCTTTCAGAAGACAGGATTAAGAGATTTGGAGCTGTCACTTTCTGAGCTTTGACTCTTCCTATGGTCCACCGGCCTGTAAACCTCATCCACTGTGCACATGCCGTCTGACATCCTTTCCACTCCTCGTTGCCCCATGAGTTCAGCCATGTCTCAATTCCATTCTCGGTGCCCAGAAGCTTCCAGGCGCCCCAAATCAATCCACCAGAGACTGCCACACCTCAGAGAGCCCCCATCCTCCCAGTGCCTCGACCGGACCTTCGGTGCTGCGGAGCTTCGATCGAAAAGAGTGGTGCTTGGGAGAGGAGCGGAGCCGTTTGGCTTTGAGTGTTCCCCAACGTTGGGGGTCTTTCCTCCCTCCGGGCGCCAGGAGTGAAACACATCTCTCCACCGTTGATGACCGATCAACACACTGCAGATGGTCATGGCCCGCCACCTTGCCCACCAAACCGTTTTCCCCCAACCAACCGTTCGCCCGCGCCCCCGCGCGCCCCATTCTGCGCCCAGGACACCCGCGATGGCCTCGCCCACGGCCCAGGCCGCGTACAGCACCGCTTTCACCCGCCATCCAAAGACGCTGGCGATGCCGCCGGCCAGGCCCAGATAGATGATCGCCATGGCGCCCACCTCAGTCAGCGCATCGGGTCGAGCGGCGAGGTCGTCTTGGAGTTGAGATGAATTGAGATTAGAAGAAAGAAGATTCACCTATAAGAACTAATGGATCAAAAATGATCACGGGTAACATCAATAATTTACTGTACATCCTTCTAGTAGTGAACTGAAGGACTTAGCATGTTGTCAGTACAAGTCAGGGAAGGTGAATTAGTACAGTTGGGGAAGTTCAATTATGTCCATCTTTGTCTCACTACAGTGCTGCCAACCATCCATACGTCCCCCAGCGCTTCACGCACACCACGGCCGCGACGCACCCGGGCGAAATGAGTTTCGCGGCGCAGTTCTGCAGCGAAATCGTCCGTTCTCCTTTGGGGCACCTCCAGACCCACGAGTGGAAGCGTGCTCAAGGCAGCCACTGTGAGGACAATGCAGGTGATCAGCAGGACACCCGCCTCGCCGAAAACACTCTCAAGCAGGACGCCCCATGCCACCCGTGAGGTCTTCTGAAAAGTCTGGAGACCACAGCCCCACTTTTGTGAGGACTTCTTGGTCGGCAGTGGACCCGATTCTGCAAACTACATCAAGGGTTTGGTGATCTAGAAACTGGAGACCCAAACAGCCCTCCTTTTCCAAGTCCTGTCCGCCTTTCTGAAGGAAATTCACTCCAACTCCCATCCGACACTCCGACTGCGCGCGCAGCAAGGCATCAACACGCCCACTCGGCCATGCGCCAAACGGCCTGGCTCTTTTGGTTTTGCGAGGCATCGGCGAAGATCACCGCAAGGCTCCACACCGCAAAGGACCCCGCCAGTTCACCTGAGGACCACGAGGACCGAAACGACGGACGACGAGAGGGGGTGCGGGGAAGCGAGAGGGTGTGTTGCTACGCCAGGCCAGTGGTGATCTAGATGGTTATGGTTCCACCAAGAGGGACGGGGCTGATGGAAAACCCTTTGTTCTGGATCACATTGGGTCAAAGTTTGGATACTCCCTGAAGGCCGCCAGGGTCGAAAACGGCAGGAGGAGTCAACATAGTCAACGGTGAACAGCAGCGGCGTGTTTCCAGGGAAAAGGAAAAAGCAGGGGGGCATGCACTCGAAAATCCCTCAAACCCCTGCCGAAATAGGAGTGGGTTGCTTTCAAGCCGCATGCCACCAGCACTGAGCCGCTGGAGGCAAGAACGACCAGTGGCAAGAGGCACCAGCGGAGGCCCAAAAGTGAATGCACATGGAGAAGTGGCCTCGAATCAGCTCAAATCACTCGTTGTTCTGCTAGAGCTTTGGCCGAATTCAATCCTGCCTGCCTACACTCACTCCCACTGGCTGAATCACCTGGCACCTATATTAATAACCTATATTAGGTGAGGTTCTAGACCCTTGCTTTGGCGTCTCCGCAGCTGACTATGTAGAATGTAGACGACTGGCAAAATCTCATGATACCGTCTTCTAAGTGTCCAACGACACGCTCTTTCGCACGCCCATCTCGCGGCCGGTTCTGAAACCTAAAAGTGTCTTTCTCCAACCCTGAATGGATGGAGATCAGACATGGCCTAACTTGGCTAGTTCTGCTTAACTTTTAGATAGCGTTCACTGGGTAAGAAAGATCAGGATCATCCACAAAAAAAAACATCTGCCTGGATCCAAACCCCACGTCGACCAGCCAGGTCTTGAGCTTCTTCGGCTGTCGCACGGACGTCGCGTAGCAAGGGTTTCAACCGGCTCCGTGACTGCAAATGCCGAAGCATTGCAAAAAAGGAGCTCTGCTTCTCCTTCTGGCCCGCCTCTCTGCACACGTTTCAGCGCTTGGATATACTTCTTCTCTCATATCGGATGTCATGAGTGCAAATTCACCCAAAAAACAAGGGTTCTTCGGATCGGGTTCTTAGTTTCATTGTCTTCCACTTGGAGTGATGTTGCTTCAGAAACCCCTGCCATGCACCATGCCCTCCGTTTTTGCTGAGAGCCCTGCTCGTGCATCCGGAGCAAATCCTTCGGAGGCAGGGCGGCATGGCAGCAGGGTGCAACACGTCTGCGCTTGGGCGCTTCGGTGGGTTCTTGATATGCTCAGTGGTCCCTCCAATCAAGTCCCGCCATGCAAAGTTCCTGACGCCCCCTGAAGGTCGTCCGCTCCTGATCCGAGCAGTTGGGCCACCACCACCGAGCCGCCCGAACCAACCTCCGCCCCGCCGGCCGCGCAGTCGGAGCGCGACTGGCGTCGTGTGGTCGGATTCGGTCGGGTCTCCTGGGTGTCATGGGCCACGGAGGCAAAGACTCGGGTGGCGTTCTCCAAACTGGCGTCGAAGCGCTCATGGCAGTTGGCACCTCGGCATGGCGTAGACGGTCATGAGATCGATTCGGTCATGAGCTCGTGAGTCTGTCGCCAGGACCGAAGGATACCGAAGGACCGGAAGGCCAAAGACCTTGAAAGAAGGGTACAAGACACCAAATGAGCACAGCAAAAAGTCGCTGCTCACGAGCATGTCATCATCCCAACGATGTGGTCGGACCTTCCCAGTGACCGAACTTCAGGATTGGCCAGTATTCAAGACCTAAGTGACCGACCCCCCACTGGGATCTCAAGTTAGGTCACCGATCGAAGGTCCTGGTTCCTCTAACATCATGTTGCTTCTAACACAGGTCTGCTTCCTCTCCGGAAGCAACTGGGCAAAAGCTCGTCACTTGTGCCCTATCAAGAACAGCCTCTTTTAAAGATTTTACGCATCCAATGGATAGTTTAGCACTAACATGCACTAACTGTGCACGGCCCCTCGTTCCCTTCCTCGCATGTCTCACATCCAGTGTTTTCTCATGCTGAATCGGGACATCGGGTCGCGCAGCCACAGGGGGCGCGTGGAATCGGAGGCGCAGGGGGTGGGTTTTGCTGAGGTTCCGAACCCCAAACATCCTTGAGGAGCGGCTTGCCACATTCCAGGGCGATCCGAGCATAGAGCTCGCTCATCAACTTCGCCTAAACCAGGCGATTCTTGTGGGTCGCACATGGTCCGACCGTACCAGTCCCGGGAAGAAATGCCGGGGGGCCCATGGGCGGCCCATGGGCCCCGTCATCCCAAACCGTCACAAGTCATCTTCACCCACCCAAGTTGTTCAGTATGACACTTTGGGAGAACAAAACTTCTTTGGGAGAATGGCCTCCGCGGGCGCAGTTCCGCAGTTCCACAGTCAGTTCCGCAGTTCATGTGAGCCGATGAAAAACAAAAAGAACCCTTGCTCCAATGATCCAAGACGATGTCGATGGAGACTCCCCTCAGACCGCAGGACCCCGCCCCCGCCACGCTCGTCAGGACTGCCCGTCTGCCCACGCCTCGCTGGGGCTTTGTGGTCTGGCAGCCCGCAAGGGTTGTTCCAAGGGCTCTCCCAACCTCAAGCGGTGCGCGGTCAATCGAGGGCAGGGCAGGGCTGGGGTTGGAACTGGTCTCTTCAAGGGCGAAAAGAGATTTGGAGGGGGATGCGGGGGTTTTTCTACAAGTCTAAACGTCCGGTACAGCCCTCCAACAGAACTTGACCGAAAGAACGGGGTCCGAAATGAAGGAACAAACCCGAAAGTGCGGGAGGAGGTCTATCTCCCTGAACAGAACGGAACAATTCTCCGGAGCAATGACACTGTGGTTGCTTGCCTTCATAGATCGGAATTATCCGGAAAGAACCGCCAAATGAGAGGCAAGAGTCCAGAGAATCCGGCGTTGTTCTGGATGCCTCTTCCCTTCTCCAGAATGTCTGGTGTTTCAAGAGCACCGAATTCATGACCCCAACATCCTGCCCAATGGGACGGGCATATCAATATGCCTAAGGACGTTGACCACCCCGAAAAAACAGATCCGCTCCCCAACCGATGCGGTCGCGGTGATACGGAGCGACCGTTGCGGTCCAAGGCGTCCAAGCCGTTTCTTCAGCTCCGGATCCAGCAAGTTCTCGATGTCCAAGCATGCTGAAGACATGATTCCTGGCAAGGTCGGAAACACTGGAAAGATCCTACAAAAACCCAGTCCAACAGCTAAACGTGTGGTGTTTAAGCATAATCCGCCGACCCCTGCTTAGCCCTTGCCTAAGCGGGGCGGCGC